TGAAATCCACCCAGCAGGACACATCCCTCCAAACCCTCAGATGAGCTCCACATGGTCCATCACCCCCTGAAGCCCACCCTGAAGTCCACCCAGCAGGACAGGTCCCTCCAAGCCTACGGATGAGCTCCCAACTGAACACGTCCCTCCAAACCCTAGGACAAGCTCCTGCTGAGCTCTGCACCCTCACCACCTGCCCCTCCTCTGAACGAGGCACAAACCCATCCCGAGCCCCGCACGCCCCACAGCGAACACCGGGATCCGATGCCGAGCCTCACCGGCGCATGTCGAGGAAGACCTCGGTGCCCCGCACGCAAACGCCGCGGGTGGCGCGGCTGGTGGACACGGRCACGACGTGTCGCGGGGCCATGGCGCGGCGGGCACGGCCGCACGGGACGGGAGCTGCGCCGGGCTGTGCCGGGAAACCAGCAGGACTGGATTAAAATGCTCGGGAATGTAACTCCTCCTTCCCGGGATGACGGGCTGGGGCCGGGGGACCCTGCTCTGCTCCTCCGCCCCGCGCAGGTGACAGGGCAGCCCCCGGGGCGGCCGCGGGGAGGGGACACGGGCGGCGGGGACAGGACGGGGGTGACACCCGGGGCGGCCGCGGGGGCAGGACGGGGGGTGACACCGGGGCGGCCCCGGGATGCTCCTCAGCGCGGATTTGGGGCTGTTCCCCTCTCTCTCCGGCTCCGTCTGAAGCCCCGACGTTCATACATTAAACATTCCGCCTCCCCCGGCAGCGCGCCGCGGTTGTTTGGGGTTATTACAGCGCTGGCATTCAAATGAAACATTTTCTTTAAAACACCCCAAATTTTCCAGCCGGCCTCCCTCTGTCCCTCCCTGCCGCCCCACGGGTGACTCACGGCCGCGGCGGCAGCATCGGGGCCGTGCCTGAATGCAGCCGAACAAAGGGAAATGTTCGCTCCGCTCGCYCCTGCCCATCGCAGCCGTCCCGGGCAGGGACGGGGGCCGGGAGAGCTGGTGAGGGGCAGGCGGAGAGGGGGAGAATAACCCGAGGCTTCCCAAGGACAGGAAAAGTTCTCCGTGCTTCGCTTGGACCCCGAGTTCTTGGGGGAACTGAGGGGTTTTAGGCGCGGATCCCACCGGAAAGAGCCCCTGGGCTGGAAGGAGATCTCCATCTCTCTCCCGGCCATCCCGGGGAATCCGCCCGCCCGCACGGAGGGAAAGCAGCGCTGACCCTCCTGGATGGACGGGGAGGGCGGTCCACGCCCCGCCAGGGACGGGGGAGCGGCTCCAGAGGGTCCCTCGGGCACAGGGGMTCGTCCTGCTGGGAATGGGATGGGACGTGTGAGGGTTCGGGAACGGGAACGGGAAGGAGAGGGCTGGGAAGGGAGAAACCTCTTCTGAGAGCTGCGGGAGGAGGCCCAGGTGAGCCGGGCAGAGCTGCGGGAGCCGGGGCTACTCCTGCACAGAGCTCAGCCCTGGAGCAGCGCATTCCCTGCGGGATCGATCCGCCGGGACGGGCCCAGCACCGAGCCGCAGCGCTCAGCCCAGGGAGCAAAGAATTATCCTCGGGATGAGCCGGGCAGAGCTCCGGGAGCCGGTTCCACTCCTGCACGGAGCTGCCGAGCTCAGCCCTGGAGCAGCGCATTCCCCGCGGGATCGATCCGCCGGGACGGGCCCAGCACCGAGCTGCAGAGCTCAGCTGGGGGAGCTGAGAATTCCCCGCGGGATGAACCGGGCAGAGCTCCGGGAGCCGGCCCCACGCYTGCACCAGCTCAGCCSGGGGARCAGCGCATTCCCCGCGGG